GGGCGGCGGGGGGCGCTGTGCTGCCGAGCGCCCCGCCGGCAGCGCTGATTCACGCCGCGACACCGCTAACAGGCAGCCGAACCACAGGAACCGCACCAGTGTCCCTCTGTGGTTCTGCCCTGCGTGGTAAGGTGGCGCTTGAGTAAAACTCCATTTTGTATTGCAAAGCTGCACGACTCGGTAGCGATCCGGAAGGCACACGGCACCTCTTGTGCCAGCTGTGCAAACTGGACACTGCCTGGCACGGCCTGTGTTTGAAAGACACCGAGGAGAGACGGGGCGGTGTTGTGTACACGCATGTAACAAGACCATTGTACGCACACTGACATAAAACCACCCTGACCAAAACGTGTAAATTCCTTGCACCTGTGTCAAAAACACTAGTCTTTAATGCGCAGACACTTCGGTCAATAACAGCGTCACCCGCCTAATCTCGGCACTTTCTTTCTCAGTGTGGATCGGATCGGCACGCCCCGACCACAACGAGAGTTTCAGATTAATACGCTCTCAACCAACCTTAAGGGCTCAAAGACCACGCCCTCAGCGCCGTTTGCGAGCCCTTCCTGCCGCCCCCCCTCCCCGTTCTATTGGCCCCGCCGCACCCCGACCGCCTCTTGGTTGGTTCTTGCACCTGTCAGTCAGGCCCGTTGCTAAGCGCCGCGTCTAGCACGCTAGTCTGTGCGCGCTCCTGTTTTCTGGCTCCCCGCTCGCTCACCGGGGGCTGAAGGAGGAGACGCCAAACAGGAGGAAAAAAATTCCACACTGGGGGGAGAATCGCAGGAGCAGATAAGGCCCCCGTTTTCGTTAAGATTCATTTCGGTTTTTATTTCAAGAAGAAGCACCGCCCCCGAAATTATGAAATGGCATTGTTAGTGTGAAAATATTATTTCACCAGATATTTTAAAGACAAAGACGTGTTTTTCCCCCCCAAAAAAAATTAAAAAAAATATTTTTCTCCCCGGCGCTGGGTGTCGTGTGGATATTTTTGAATTTTCTGGGGGTGCCCCTCGTTGCCAGGGCGGTCCTCAGGCTCGGTTCCGCAGGCTCGGCGAGACGGTACCGATGTCGCGACGGCCCGATTCGTCCCGCTGCTCCCGGGACCGGCTCTGCTGAAGCGGGGCGGAGGAGGGTGTATGAGCAGCCCGCGGAGGGCGAGACACGCATCGCCGCGGATTTTCCTCCACGCAGCGCTGGGTCGCGCCAGCCCGCCGCGCCGGCCGAGGGTCCCCGACCGGATCTAATAGGAAGGCGGACGACGGGGCCTCTCCGTCCTCCCACTCCGCCCGCTCCCTCGCCCTCCCCGGCCCGCACGGCGCCCTCGGCGGGGTGAGGTCCGAGTGTGCTCGGCCAGCGGGCAGTGCGTGAGACCGAGGCCCCCTCCCCCACGGTCCGAGCCCCCGGCAGCCCGCTCGGCGCTGCAGCCCCTGTTCCGGCCGGACTGCCAGGCGAGGTTGGAGCGAGGAGAGGAGGAGGAGGAGGAAGAGGAAGAGGACCCCGACCCCGAGTGCTCGCAAAGCCCCGAATTCTGCCGGCGTGCCAGAGCCCCTGGAAGCAGGGCTTGAGAGGAACGGCAGGGGCATGACTTTGGAGTCCATGATGGCCTGTTGCCTGAGCGAGGAGGCGAAGGAGTCGAAACGAATCAACGCCGAGATCGACAAGCAGCTCCGGAGGGACAAGCGAGACGCCCGGCGAGAGCTGAAGCTGCTGCTGCTAGGTGCGGGGCCGTGCGGGCGGGCGGGACCGGGGCTGGGGGCCGCGGTGCTGGGCGGAAGGGGGGAGCGGGTCGGCGCTGCGAGTCGTTATGTAATTGTGCTGCTGAAACGGGTCCTTCATGGGCCCGGCGGTCTGGCCGAGGCGCTGGAGACGCGCTGTGCCCCCGGGACGGAGGTTCGGGGGTTCGGCAGCCCGGTACCGCGTCGGGAGGGGGCTGACCCGGGGCGCGCTGTCAGTGGCGGGTGCGCTGCGCGTCTTCACGCGAGTGTCGTTCCCACGCCGCCGGGAGCTGTGTGTCCCGCGGGTGGGTGTCCGGGCAGGGTGAGTGTTTCAGGGGCCCCGGGGCCGAGCCGGACGGGGGTTCTGCTCGGGTCGGGAGGCGGGGCCGGACCGGACGGAGGACGAGGGGCATCAGCTGTTCTCTCTGCCCGAGGGGCCGGGGGTCCCCGCTAATCCCACAGGGGGGCTTCCTGGCTGCTCAGCTGGGAGCCAGCACCGGGTCCAGTTCTGCTAGTTTAGGAGCCAGCACTGGGTCCAGTTCCCTACTGCGTGCACCACAAGTCCAGTCTGTCCCCCGGCTCCTGCCCTGCCCCTGTCCAGCTGCAGCTCAGTGAACAGAAGGGCCTTTTCTGCAGTCCTGCGTGGACCTGGCTCCTGCAGCTCTGAGGGGTGCAGAACCCTGCGGCCTCAGTAAGGGGACCCCCGAGCGACCTCGCTCAGGGCCATCCCATCCTGCCCCAGCGGCCAGGCCTGAGGCCTGCAGGGACGAGGGGCTTCAGAAACTGGAAATGAGACGCAGTTCCACTGCGGAGCCGTCGCAGGTTTTCCTGTCTGTGGCAGCCGTGCTGCCGAAGCTGAAGGCGCTGTGTGCGGCACTATTTCAGCGTCCCTTCTGTCCTGCTGCTTGGCAGGAGATGTAAAGGCTGAACCCAAGCGATCAAGCGCTTCAAAACAAGAGTCTCCACTGGTAAAACCCGGAGTGGATCAGACCGCTGTGCACCGGGAATCTGACTGGCACTGCTGCAGTGGTAGTGAAACCCCGACTGCTCTGTGAAGAAATTGCTTTAGGCTGGCGGCAAGGTGGCGCAGCGCTGGGGCCCTGAGCTCGGTTCTGGACCTGGGGTGCTGTCTGTGTGGAGTCCGCATGTTCTCTCCATGTTCTCATGGGTTTCCTCTGGGCACTCAGATTTCTTCCTACAGTCCAAAGACATGCTGGTGGGTTAGTGGGCCTTCTGGGAAAACTGGCCCTGGTGTGTCTGCGTCTGTGTGCCCTGTGATGGGCTGGCGTCCTGTCCAGGGTGACCCCCCCCCTGTGCCCGTTGCTCTGCTGGGATAGGCTCCCCCTGCCGCCTGCGTCCCTGCACTGGGTAGAGAGGTGAGGGAGTGGGTGTGTGGATCCCTTGCGACTGCCTCTGGGAAGGTGATTGAATCGGTGTGGTGTTGGCTGATCGCCCCCCCCTCTCAGAATTGAACCGAGGTGACGCTGAGAGACCCGCTGGCAGGACTGGCAGTGCTCGAGCGGGCGTCCGATTGGCGCTGTTGGCTGGAATCGTTTCAGAGCGCATTCAGAATATTTAGGAAGCAGCAGAACGCTGCCTGCCAGGAGATGTAGGACAATCCTGAAAACCCCACAAGAGCCCCCCCACCCCGCCCCAGTTCAGAGTCCGCCTCAGAGCAGCCTGGAGCAGGGCTGAGATGTTCACTCTGCTGCGTTGGCTCCGTGCGAGGTGGAATCTGCTGAAGATGAAATCTGTCCTTTTCTTCCTGTGCGTGAAGTATCTCAGTGGTGCATCTTCCTGTGAGCTCTCTGCGACAGCAGCTTCTGCGGGGGGTGGCTGGTATCTCGGGCTCCGTGTGCTTGTGCAATCGGATGTCTCGATTCAAGACCGCGCGTGACCTGATGCTCTGGGCCGAAGCAGGCCGGGTGTGGGCCTGACCTCCAGCACGCCGAGCTGCCCGCCTGCCTGGCGCGAGAGAGCAGGGCGTCGACTCTTCTTGCATAGCTGCCAGGCTGGGGGCCTGAGCTCCTCTGCTGGCACATGGGGCCAAAGTGCCCGTGATCTGTGTGTGTGCCATGGCGCTCAAAGTACGTGCTGGATAGTTCCAGCCACTGCCGTGGGCTTCCACCAACAAGAACCCTGCCAGTGGGAAAACCTGGACTGGATCGGACCGCTGCGCAAAGGGAGTCTGATCCTGTCCCACACGAAGCACACAGTGAGCGTCGTTTCAGGCGGTGAAGCTGTCTTCTAAGACAGAGGCCCGGCTCTGCAGGATGTAGGGACTTTGAGATCGTAGTGGCAGCAGGGCCCTGGGAGCCCTCCGTGTCTTGCAGAGGGGCAGCAGACCAGGCTCGTCTCCGGCTGGCCGCGCTGGCACCGGCGCCGGGAGGCAGTGCCAGGGCTCCTCCCCCGAGCTGTCTGCACTGCCGGGGTCAGAGGTCGCAGCGCCAGCTCGCTCCCCTGGGGTCACGCAGCGGCCAGCCTCCCCAGCGCCTGTGCCTGCCTGTAAATGGTCAAAACACTCACCCCCCCCTCCCTGCACTGCGTCCATTCCCTGCGGATAGCTCAGCACCCCGGGAAGTGTCTGCCCGCAGCTCAGCGGTCATGCCAGACTGGCACGTGCGCGAGATTCTGCATCCCCTCGGCCTGCTCGCTCTGCATCGTCGTCTTCCTCGGTGCAGGGCTGTCTGTCTGCAGGATTCGGCCCTGATAGTTACTGGCTTAGCTGGACCCGCTGACCCAGTTCTCCCAGCTATTCCAGTGCAGCTAGCGGTGCAGCTAGTGGAGACAGAGCTGCAGAGCC